TTAAATAATATTTATTTAAATTTATATTATTTTATCATTTAAATAATTATAATATTGACATTTATTTGTTCCTATAACAGCGGATGAAAAATATATATTAAAAAAAAAAAAATATTTAGGAAACTAATAGAAATAATTAAGAAAAATATTGTTATAATAGATATATGATAATATAATTATGAAAATACATATATATATATGTGTAGAAAAAGAAAAAAATGTTTAGAGAAGAGTTCCCTTTAGGGAAAAATAAATTGTAATTAAATAATCGAGCAGAGTGCAGTTGAACGAGGTGCGTCAGCGGCCGCGGCAGCGGCTGTTGAAGATTCGACATTCCCGTCCGGTAGTTTGCATCGTGCAAGAAGGATGGAAATTCTTCGTGAAAGAAAGGCCGAAAAGGAAAGGGAAAGAGAAAAAGAAAGGGAGAAGAAAAGCGAAAAAGAAAGGGATAGGGAAAGGGAAATGGTTGTTGGTACTCAACAAGAAGAAATGGAACAAAGGGAATTACCGCATTCCAGTTGCGAAAAAGTCTGACTAGTCGTCAACAGCGAGGAGGTAATTACTTTTAATTATTAACGTTTATTTATCAAACGATCAATTTTGCATGACGCAGATCGAAAATAATTTTGTGATATTGTATATTTTAAGATATTAAATAAAATAATATTTATGATTATATTTGATTGGTCACATTATTACTGATCAAATCGTCTGGTTTGATCGAAAAATTAATATTTTGAAAGTTAAACTGTTTTTAATTTGTTAGAATAATAATACGTAACTTTATTGTTTATCTTATTTCTTTAATGACACAGATATGGTTGTGACGAAGACAATACATCGATAGGATTGAAAAATCTAAGAAGAAAATATGTTTTCGTACGTTTCCAAGGGGAAGAAAGCTAAGGTATTTGAAAGAGTGTGTGTGTGTGTATTCTCTCGATGTTCAAAGTTTCATGAATTTTATCAACACAAATGGCCAATCCACGTGTCCGTATCGTCTTGTACGTCGAGTTCCTTATCAAATTTGCTAATCGGTTCGTTCCACAAGATACACCTTGATAATACTCTTATTTAATATTAATAATTATAATAATAATAATAAATAATACTCTCTCGAAGAGAAAGAAAAAGGAGGGGGAGAAAATAGGAAAAGAGAAAGAAAAAAAATAAAAAAGTAAAAAGTGAGAGAGTCAAATGTAAAAGAAAAAATCTGTAATAAAATTTGTAATTGTTCGTATCGATATGAAGATACGATGAAATCTACGAGCAGCGTTAAATGTAATTTTTGTTATTATTGTTGTTGTTGTTGTTGTTGCTGCTGCTGCTGCCGCTGCCGGCCGCTGTTACTGGCTGCTGCTGCTGCTGCTGCTGTTTAAAGATGCTGATTAGAAATAACAATCAATTAAAGAAATCTTTTTCTAATATGATTTAAATCGTTGAAAGTTTTTAAAGATATAACACCATATCACGCGTGCGAATTATTATCGAATGGGAACGTTTTAATAATCACCTTCCTATGTTCGAAGGTAAACATAGCAATTATGGTCGAATAAAGAGAAAGGAAAACAAGAGAAAGAAAGAGAGAGAAAGAGAGAGAGAGAGAGAGGGGGAGAGGGGGGGGATAGGTGAGATTTGAAAGATTCAATTCGATTATTTAATTATCTCAATATGTGTAAAAAAAAATTAAACGACGAACCAGAAAAAAAACAAGGGGCTGTATTTCTGTTTTATTTTTTCTTAATTTAATTAAATTATGACTTGTTCGTATCTTAAATTTATCCATCATTGATTATTCCAACGCGTGATTCTCTCCCGATATTTCATATTTCCATTTCGTTTTATTATTCTTTTACAAAAACGTTGTGCTAATGAAATTAATATTAATAAAATATTGTAATTGAGAAAAAGAAAAAAAAAAAAAAGAAAAAACGGGGAAATATCGATGAGAGAGAGAGAGAGAGAGAGAGAGAACGTGCGTGCATCGTTTTGTCATCAAAACTAGTACAAAATATTTTTACGACAATAATTGCTAATGCGCGTGCTCGATTTTCGGGGTGACAAAATAAAAAAAAAAAGAGAAAAATAAAATAAAAAGAAAAGAAAAGAAAAGTTTGACTAAAAGTTTATCTCGAGAGACTTTTTTTTTTTACATGTAAATCCTATTTATTATATTATTATTATATTTATCAACTATATAACTAATACGTTTTTACAATATATTTCATTGAAAATAATTATTAAGTTACGAAAAGAGTAGAAAAATGATTCGTGCGTATATATAAAACAGGAAAATGAAAAGAAAGTAATTGCGAGAGAATTGAAGACACTATCCGCCCCCTCCTCGCTCAAAAATTACCCTTAACCCTTACTTCTATCCCACTTCCCCATCCAGCATATTATCGTTGGTTTACAATTTTGTAAAAGCTTACTCTAAATACGTTTCATCGATGATAGAAACGAAGTTTAGGTTTTTCTAATCATAAAATGACTGCGTTTTGATTGTCTAAAAATATAAAAAAGAAAAAAAAAATGAAAAAAAAGTGTAATAAAAATACAAATGAAAGGAAGTAGCAAAAGAAAGAGAGAGAGAGAGAGTGAGAAAGAGAGAGAAGGATCGCTATTTGTATTTAAAAATATAAGAAATGTATTTAATATCATCGTCATTGATTATGCGATTTAATCGACTTGTGAGATTAGCATTGATACGTAGATAAAAATACGTAGGCACGTATATAGTTATATTCGTGCATGCATACAATATACATACATACATAAATACATACAAACACACATACATACATACATTGACACACATATATGCATATGTAAATGACGTTAATCCAATGATCTCAGTTCGACGAACGTATGAATGAATTAAAAACGCATAAGAAATGGAAATCGTTTTGATCTACATCATCTACCAATTAAATATTTAATACTCTGCAACGATCGATACGTTGAAATGAAATAAAACCAAAAAAAAAAAAAGAAAAAAAAAGAGAAGAAAAGAGAAAAAAAAATAGAAATGAAAGATTGACAATGTTCACATATCGAGATCGATATTCGGAGTTTGAATTAGATGAATTAAAAATTACGAGGATTACGTAGACGAACGTAAACGTTAAGAGTCAATTGGAAATAAAACTAATTTAATAAGGATTATAATATATCGAAGATTGAATCTTTTTGTGATTATTATTTTGTGTGATTGCCCCCGAGAATGTTTCGTGCTTGGAAAATGTGTATAATTATTAAGTAGGTATATATATATGAAAAATTAAATTAAATTAAATATAAATAAATAAATAAATTAATTAATTAATTAATTAAGAACAAGAAACACACACTGTAGGATACACGTAAACATAAACATATATATATATATACGTAATAAGAAGAAGAAGAAGAAGAAGAAGAAGAAAAGAAAAACTTGTAGTAGTACGTGCTTTTTAAGAAATAAAAATAAAAATAAAAAACACGATGATAGTTTAGCCCCGTAGTTAGGATGGTAAGAGAAAAGAAAAATAAAAAAGAAATAAATAAATATATAAATAAAATATAGAGCACAAGAGAAAGAGAAACATCTGATTCGACTCCGAAAAAATCGAGCGAGAAACTACGAGAAAACGTTCCTTTGAATGTTAACGAGATATATTTAAACAAAATAAAAAACCAACAAAAAAAAAAAAAAAAAAAAAAAAAAAAGAAAAGGAGCTTGTAAACGCATCATAAGTGTGTGCGTGCGTGCCTGCCTGCCTGCGTGTATGAATGTGTGCATTCGTTTATGTAATGTACGGATATATATATATATATATATATATTATCGTGCGAATTGATTGATGATATATACGTTTCATTCTCGTCATCCAAAATAATCGAAATATTTTTAAATCCAATTTTTGTCAATCGTTTATTTTAAATCTCGACGTTTTAAAAACGATCCTAAATACTTTAAATACCGATCATTTTATTTATTATTATACCTGCGTATAAAAAATACCTTATCTATCCTTCCCGATTCGGGTGAAGTGGGGTGGGGGTGGGGGGGTAGGTAGGGGGAAAGGTTAAGTAGAATGTTTTTTCTTATATTTTGTAAAAAATCAACCAAAAGAAAAAAAAGACGAAAAAGAAAGGAAAAGAATATTCAGAAAAAAGAAAATGAAAACGAAGAAGAGAAAGATGAAATGGTATTTGTATAATTAAATAATACGCGTTAGAATATTTCGGGTGGAATGAAAAAAAAAAATGGAAAAAAAAGTAAATAAATGCGATATGAAGAAACCGACTGATTGGACGTTAAAATAAATGTGATGATATGTAAATTTGTCGTCCATTTTAATCCATTATTCGAATCATATTATTATGATTAAACAAAAAGAGAGAAAAAGATAAAGATAAATATAATGGCGTATGAACAAATTATTTCGCATTAAAGGATAATCTCGGATATACGATACTAATATTAACATTTTTCATTGCGAGTATTACTATGATATAAGGAAACAAAAACAAAAAAATACATATATAAAATTAATAGATATTTAATCCTTTATTTATGACAAATACTTTGCGACGAGTATAAATTTCTCTTGTAAATAAGTATCGTTGTTACGCGTGTTACAAACCTTACATGATCAGTTCATATTTGAAATGAATGTTCCGTATATAGGTCGCTAGTAATGAAAGGATTAAAAAGCAAGACAAAAAAAGAAAAGAATAAAGAAATATAAAATGGAATATAATATTATAATGTGCGAGAAAGTATAATTCATCTCGTATGGAAATTAATTTGTTGGAACTTAATTGTTTTTAATTAATTTGATTACGTATTATAAGTGAAAGAAAACCTAATTTTAAAATTGCATTACGGCAATAATGATTTTTACGAGTGATTGTTGTTATTGTTGTTGTTGTGACACGTTATATGGAAAAACGTTGTTAAAGGAGAAAATTTAAAACGATGGAAAAAAAAAAAAGAAAGAAAGTTAGAAAGAACGATTGCTTTTGATGTCGCCTATTGTGAATAACCCTCCGCGTTTCGACGTGAGTCGGATTAATGTGTGTGACCCAATTTTAAATGCAAAAGTAATAATAATAATGATAATAAAAAAAGGAAAAAATGTTTACGCAATTAAAATTAGTTATAGTATATGAAAGAATTGGTTTTTTTTTTTTTTTTCGCGTGAAACTCGTCGTAACAAAACTCGAAATAATTTTTGAAAAGAAAATCAAAGAGAGAGAGAGAGAGAGAGAGAGAGGAATGGAAATTATTGCACGGATTGAGGGGTAGGGGGGTGATTATGATTCTTATAACTTATAAAAAAAAAAGGAGTATAAAAAATAGAAAAAGAAGCAAGCACAAAATTGTGTAATCGTTTAAAGAGATTAAAAAAAGATAAAATGTAGGAAATAAGAGGAACGTGTGTTGGTGATAAGAGTTTAAAGTTGAGAAACAAGAAAAAAAATGAATTTAATAAAATAATTTACCCCAACAAGACAACAAGTCACATGTGTACAATTAAAGAAAAAAACAAACAAAATGAAAAAAAAGAAAATGAAAAAGAAAAAAAATCATATTTGTAAAAATATACTCTGTATGTCGGTGAATATAACGATAAATGAGATTAACGAGGAAAATTATTGTCTAATTTTTTCGTTGTTGTCTTGAATTTTATAATTAAACGTTTTCCTTGCGATATTTTTATCTTCTTGTTCTTTCGTTGTTTTTATTTTTTTTTTTTTTTTCTTCCAATTATATTTAACGATGGACAATTTTTTATTATTATTGGTCGATTAAAGTATTTTCTTGTTTATTAACGATAAAATGTTGATTCATTTTGCTTTTATA